CAGGTCCTTTAGAGACGTCCCACCACCCGCCTGGAGGGCTTTTGGGGTTCCCCCCCCCCCCCCCCCCCCCCAGGACAGGCGCCAGATGTAGGGCTCATGGCTGGCAAGCATCACTGTGGCAGCGCAAGCCTCTCCCGATTGGGACTGACTGGACACGAGCCTGCGGCAGGCGCAGCGGGGCTGGGATGAGCAGGAGTGGCAGGCAGGGGTGGCAGGCGGTGTTGGACTGCTGGTTCGTCCGGATTCCCCACAGGCCACCCCAAGGGACCCCACCCATGCACGAATTCGTGAACTGGGCTTCTAGTCATCAATAAATCAACAAACAACAAGTGTTGGTGAGGATGTGGAGAAAGAGAACCCTCGTGCACTGTTGGTGGGAATGCAAACTGGTGCAGTCATTTTGAAAAACAGTATGGAGGTTCCTCAAAATATTAAAAATAGAACTTTCCTGTGACTCAGCAATGCCACTTCTGGAAATATATCCAAAGAAACCCCAAACTCTAATTCAAAAGAATATATGCACCCCCATGTTCATTGCAGCATTATTTACAATAGCCAAGATATGGAAGCAACCCAAGTGCCCATCAAATAGATGAATTGTTTAAAAAGCAGTGATACATATATGCAGTGGAATATTAGTCATAAAAAAACTGAAATCTTAGCATTTGTGACAGCATGAATGGACTTAGAGAGTATTATGCTAAGTGAAATAAGTCAGACAGAGAAAGACAAGTACCATATGATTTCACTTATATGTGGAATCTAAAGAACATAATAAATGAACAAACAAAACAGAAACAGACTCATAGATGCAGAGAACAAACTAATGGTTGCCAGAGGGGAGGAGAGTTTGGGGGGCTGGGTGAAAAAGTTGAAGGTAAGAAGTACAAATTGGCAGTTACAAAATAATCATGGGATGTATAGTACAGCATAGGGAATATAATCAATACTACAGGGTGCGGGAAAGCAGGTTTACAGTTGTGAGTACATGAAACAAAGTTTATTTTTGTATTATCATTTATTAATTATTGTATTATTTTGCATTCAAACAACTGTAACCCTACTTTTGCCCCATCCTGTATTGTATAGTGCCATGGTGGGTACTTGAATTATTGGGGTATCACTTCGTAAATTATATAATTGTCTAACCACTACTCTGTACACCTGAAATTAATATAAAATAATATTAAATATCAACTGTAATAGAAAAAAATTTTTTTAATCATTAAATTAAAAAAGATTTCTCCAATACCACGTAAGGGCAGGACACCACAGCTGGTTGAGAATGGAGAGAGAAGCTGGAGGGCCCCTCAAACAAAGACAGAAGCCACACCTGGGGTAATAAGTAATAAGCAGTAGGCAGCCCTAGCCGGTTTGGCTCAGTGGATAGAGTGTCGGACCTGTGGACTGAAGGGTCTGGAGTTCGATTCCGGTCAAAGGCATATGCCCGGGTCGTGGGCTCGATCCCCACTACGGGGCATGTAGAATGCAGCCAATCAATGATTCTCTCTCATCATTGATGTTTCTATCTCTTCCTTTCCCTTCCTCTCCTCTCTGAAATCAATAAAAATATATTTTTTAAAAAGCAGCAGGCATTTTGCAGATGGATTTAAATGAATTACTTTAAATGGAGAGACTATTTTCTGAAATTTGAACCATTTCATAATTGCATAAATTTAGACAGAATTTTTCATTTTTGGTAATAAAGGCCTTTTAACCTATAAGCTCCAGGAAGCTCTATTTTTCTCTGGCACCAGGCCTTGTACATATAGGAACTTCTCAGTTTCAAATATAGGTCTCATTGTCCCTACTGACGAGTGAAATACCCTTCATGCCAACTTTTTGGCATTGAATGACAGAGAGCCAGGCTCTGGAGTTGGACTGCCTGGGTTCAAACCCTCGTTGTGCTTCTTACCACATATATGACTTTCGGCAAGTTTCTTGCTTCTACTTCCCCAACTGTTGAACAGAATTCATAATAGTACCTACTTCATGATTATCGTGAGAATTGAAGGGTTGACATATGCGAAGAACTGAGAATTGTGCCTGACGTACATTAAGTACTCCACAACATATTAACTATTATTATCCTTCTTTTCCAAAGTGGCTCTCTTCTGAAAGCAGGAGAGAATTCTTTTATTGAACCCCATGTCATGATTGTGGGCTCAGAAAAGATGTTACTGGGCCTGCAGGAATTATGAGGCTTTGTTAATGTCTTTGAATACAAGAGAAATTTCACAGCCCGGAGGTTGGGAAAACCCCATACTGTGCCCCTGAGCTCTCCCAACCTCATTTTCTAAAAAAGTTCAGCCAGACCTTGCTCACCTCCTGAAAGCTGATGAGAGACAGACCTCCCACTGGTGGTACTTTGTTTTTATATTAAAAAATGGATTTCAGTGAAAATTGATTTATCTCCTTTTTAATTTAAAAAAATATATATTTTATTGATTTTTTACAGAGAGGAAGGGAGAGAGATAAAGAGTTAGAAACATCGATGATAGAGAAACATCGATCAGCTGCTTCCTGCACACCCCCTACTGGGGAAGTGCCTGCAACCAAGGTACATGCCCTTGACCAGAATCGAACCTGGGACCCTTCAGTCTGCAGGCTGATGCTCTATCCACTGGGCCAAACCGGTTAGGGCTCCTTTTTTATTTTGAAAAAAATCACCCTTAAATAAAACATTGATTATCTAGACAATTATTCCAAATTTCATGTTAATATGACATTAACACTACTCCCTTGAAGAGTTGTCCTGCGGGGAGTTGGGTTTTCTGCAAGCCATAGGAGACAGCGCCACCTACTGGCCTCCGAATTAGCCCAAAGGGTAGGAAGAGGCAAGAAGGGCGGTGGTGGTTCAGGCGCAAAATTCCCCAAAGATGTGTTTCAAGCTGTTTTGGTGTGGAAGCCACCCTTTATGTCTAACCTCCTCCTCCGTCAGGAAGTTGAGCCCACGGAAGCTTCTTGCATGATGGGCTTCTGGTTTCTGGACTCTTGGGGGAAAGAATGGGAAGTGATGTGACTGGGGCTTGGCGGAGATCTAAAGCAGCGATTCTCAAACTCCGATGCACATTTGAATCACCTGGGGAGCCTTAACATCAGGACGCCCAGGCCTACCCTACACCAGTGAAGTGCTCCGGCCTGGGACCCAGGCCCAGGCATCAGGATGTTTAAATCTCCTCAGGTGACTCCAATGTGTGCTGAGACCAGTAACTGTCAGGGCCGTGGCCCTTCCCCAGTTGGTTTCACCCCTTGCTGACCTCAAAGAACTTTCCGTCTAATGCAGAGATCAGCAGAATGGCATGTATATGCTCCTGCCCTGTGTTAGGGCTGTGATCCCAGGATGCCTTTCTCAAGGTCAGAGAGGCCCCTGCACTTAAAAACAAACAAACAAACTAACTCCTCAAAACCCACACACAAAAACCTGGAGATTTGTTAAGCAAACTGGGTCCGAGGCCCAAATCTACCCTGGTGTTCCCCCACACCAACAAACAGTCCTCAGAAACCAGCAGGGTGTCCAAGAATTCAACTCAGTTCAGACACTATCCTCCTGGAGCTACTATCAGATTCCACAGGTTAAGGATTCAGGCCTACAGGACTGCCCCGCTCCCCATCTCCACCCACTTCAGCCACCAGCTGCACACTGTGCTCTGACCCAGGGCCCTAGGCTGGAGGTTCCAACGACCCCCTCCAACTCAGAATGCTAATCACAAGTCCAGGTTGTCACCTGTACTCCCAACCAACTGGCTATAAATCAGAGGTTCCTACGACCCTTCCTGGGTTCAATCAATTTGCTAGAACAGCTCACAGAATTTAGAGAAACATTACTGACTAGATCACTGGTTTATTAAAGGATATAGCCCAGGAACAGCCAGATGGAAGAGACGCAAAGGGCAAGGTATGTGGGAAGGGCAGGGCATCCATGCCCTCTCCAGGTATGCTACTCTCCCTGGATCTCTACTGTTCACCAACCTCCCCCTCCCCCCACACGCTCTCCAAACCTCAGCCTCAGTGGGTTTTTATGGAGGCTCAGTTACCTAGTCATGATTGATTAAATCACTGACCATTGGTGGTTGATTTAGGGGTGGGACTGAAAGTTCCAACCCTCCAATCACATGGTTGGTTCCAAAAGTCACCTCATTAACATAACAAAAGACACTTTTTTTTTTTTCTTCACTCTCAACACTTAGGAAATTCCGAGTTTCAGGAACTGTGAAGCAGGAATTGTGAACAAAGCGAAATAGACTTACCTCGTTTTATTTCACTTTGCTATATTGCACTTCACAGATGTTGCATTTTTTACAAATTGAAAGCAAGACCCTTTACCAGCAAAAAGGTTACAACTTGCTTTATTGCAGTGGTTTGGAACCGAACCCACAATATCTTCGAGGTATGCCCGTACTCAACCTGGCCTAACAGCAGAATCCAGAGGCATCAGGTATGGCCTGATTATATACTCCAGCTTCATATTCCGGTGGTTTTCTCAGCTCTGTCTTCCTCTTTATCAGCTCAGCAAAACTGAAGCAGTTCAAGGCTTCACGTCTTTCAGCCCATTTTCCAGAAGGAAGAGTTTCTCTTCCTCCAAGCCTCCTACCAGAGTTTGGGCTTCATTCTAATTGCATCCACTTATGCCATGTAATTCACTCTTAAGTCAGGCACTGGGGCAAGGGGGGGATGGGATTCTGCTGATTGGCTCAGGCTAACCCAAGCCCGCCCCTGGGAGCAGAATATCCAATCAGTCCCACCGGAAGGGCTTGGCTGTTTCCTAATGGGCGGGGAGTGGGATGTGCGCCAGGAAGCAGCTGCAAATATCTACTATCTGTTTAAAAATGCCTTGGGTCGTCCCACAGCCCCTAAGGAGGACAGCAGGTGTCAGTCTAGCTTGCCATGTGTCACGGTCGCTATTGAAAGTGAGACTCACTGTGGCGTGTGCAGCACCAAAACTCCGAACACAAGGAACACAAAGAAGGACACCATCTACCAAAGACACTTTATTTGTTACCTTTCACATGAACAGTCGACAACAAATAATAGTAACAACAAATAAAAATAACTTGCAAGGGGACCAGACATTAGACATAAATAAGGACACTCTTGACATGAAAGAAAGCCCGTGCTGGATGTGGCTTCTTGGGTGTGCGGTGGCCACAGCGCGGCCTCTGTCGCCAGGGAAGGCGGAGGCCTCCGTGAGGTGCCTGTGGAACCGGCATCACAAGGCTGGACATCTGGACCCAGAGCACAAGCTCCCTGTCCCACCATCAGCCAGACAGAAGGTCTGCCATTTCAAAGTGACTTTAAGCTCTTGCTCCTGGGGTTTTTGTCTCCACACCTTTCCCTAGGCTCTGGGCCTTGGGTCGGGGCTGCATTAGAGGAAGTGCCCATTTGCTCACCGAGGAGGGGAATCTAAGGACGAGGCCACCCCTGCACCTTGTCCTCACTCATCTCCCAGTCCAGCTTCCTTCTGCCTCTGTTCCTCCTGCTCCTGGTCATGACTTTTCTCCCTGCCTCTCTCACCTACTGGCATTTCAAAAACTCTGAAATGCACCCCACAATGGACACTGCTAGTCCAAGCCTTCTAATTCACAAAAAGGTCCTGCATTCCATCACTCCTCCAAAACATCTTCTTAGGGGTGAGGCCATGTCACAAGCTCCGGCAATTCAAGAGCAATGCACTCCCTACTGCTGAGCGATAGAAGAACCTTAAAAGGTGGTGTCTCTTCCTTTGCCGGCACCTCCACAGCTGATGTGTGAGCATCTCCCAGAAGTGGGTCACTGCTCTGCAGGCTATCAACCCAAGAGCAACATTTCCCCAGGAGTAAAGAATCTTGGGAACTTTCCTCTAGATTGGAAATGGTTATTGTTGCCCATCAGGGAGAAAAAAAACAAAACATACCAAACAACAAAACCCTAACCATTGTACAGCTTGGAGAAAATCAACTGTCTTACAAGTGCTAATAGCATCTGAGTGCATTTAATTTCATAGGGACTTAAATAGCAAACAAGCTGTCGTCATTGCAGACATCCCCAGCTTCCACTCAGAGGGGCTGGATGTCAGATGGAAGAACAGCACCAGGCCAGGTCTTCACGGCTCCATCAGTCTCTTAGTCAAAGTAAAAGCTCAGACACTGAGTTAAGGGCCATCGATGGTTCCAATTTTTTTACCGCCCTAGACAACAAGAGAGAAAGGAAGGAGGAAAAGAAAAACTCTTAGAAAAGCAGTGTTCCAACAGCAACACAGGAGAAAATTTAGATGCATAAATTATTCTGATGAACATTCTTTGAATACTATTTTTAAATTAGAACCTGTCAGTGTGTTAGATCTTTGTCCTATGAGCTAGGATGCATTTTGTCCATTTCATAGATGAGAAAACAACTAACCTGTCCGAGATCACAAAGCTAGTAACAGGAAGGGCAAGGCTTTGAACCCGGGTCTGTCTGACTCTAAATCCCACACTTATTCTACTACTAATGGGCTCTCTTTAGAGGTTAGACAAAGTGAGGGCTCCACTGATAAGGAGGAAAGGAGGTTTCTAATGAGGGTGGTGTTTTGGGTTCACCTTAGGTGGGGCCAACAGGCACTCCCCAAGGACACCCATTGTGGCTATTGCTGGCTAGCCCGCGTCTGACCCAACGTGGTGCCTATTGTCCAAGTCATCCCTTTGTACCCACATTAATCACTTAGATTTCCTTATAAGGAAAGTTTATGCACAACATAAATCATGGGATTTCAAACTAAAAATTCACGTTTTCCCAGCATGTTCAGATCCTCAAAGGGCAGTGTGCTCACCTGGGCAGCCTGCAGAGGTGACGTGTACCCATGGAGACCTCAGAGCCTATGCCTGCCCACCTCAGCCCCCTCTAACCCCCTCTGGATCCTCCTTCTCTATCGTCTATTTTTCTACTCCTCTGGGTATGCCTCACCCCAACCCTTTCTTCTTTCCCTTTTTCCCTTTTTCTTTCCTTTTTAGTGAAAAGAAAAATATCATTTCTTTCCTTGCCTTCTTTTTCCTGGCTCTTCTCTGCCCCCGTCTCCCCGCCCCCCCCCCCCCCCCCCGGGGCCCCCTCCTTTAACAATTTTCCCCTGTCCCACTCAAGCCCTTGGGCACTCCCCCCATGGGAAGGGCCTCTTAAAGGGTTCCCCCTTTTAAAATTTGGGTTGGGAAAAATACACCGGGGAAAGGCGGGTAATTTTCCGGGTGCAAAGTAAAAGAGGTCAAGGCCTTCTCCCTTGAAGACCTTTCATGGGAAAGAAAAAAAAACCAGCCCAAATTGGCTTATCCTTTCTCTTTTAGGGGGGGGCCCCCAA